AGAGCCCAGCGCTGTAATAACTCTGCATTTAACCAGAAGAAAATAAATCTACGTAAAGCTGATTCCTGTTTCCTGAGTGTTACTTCTTGGGGCCTTCAGATAAAAGAACTGGCTGTAGTTAAAATAATGCTAGACAAGAGACTAAGCCAGTTCACAGGCAATACAGATGACAACAATCTACCTTACTGCTATTAAAGCTGCATACGACTGGCTAAAGCCAGATTCACCTGAGAAGACCAGGATCACACAGATACTACTGACTATAATACTATAATCTACAGTCTCACTTCAAGACCAGGCTCTCTGACATGATGGCTATCAACATGTCTGCACACGTGCCTGCCAAGCTGAAATAACTTCATGTCAGTGAGTCAGAAATGAGGTTAGTTACATACTGCTGTGATACTGTGCAGAGAGTGAAGAAAGCAGATTGTCTGTGCATGACTAAGCCTGCGGCCTTTTTGCATATTAAGCTCACACTTGAAGGCTAAAAACATGAGGAAGGGCTTGGTATATCTAGTTCCTATTTAAGGGACGCCCCACCTATTTAGTATTAAGCAGAGTGCGCAGGAGGCGGGGCATGATACAGTCAGATAGCCAGTTGGTAATGCAGTCATAAACAATGAGTCTCTTGCTCTACTTTAAATTTGTCTGACAATTCTCGCACCATCTTTTAATGACAAAATTTCACACATTTTTTGTTGCTGTCTTCATTGTAAATGACTCTTTTTCTTCACCATCTTCAGATGTTTGTATTGCTCCGGTTTCGCACCAGTCACATAACAGAATGTCATCAACACACCCACTGGCTCCATGTGAATACTTGGAATATACACTGCTCACATGGGCTCACTCGGACTTTGTACTAGGGAGCTGGAAGAGTCTGCTTAACATCCGAGCCTACGAACGCTGACATTTGCTTTCTCACATGCAGCTTCCCAAGGTTATGTCTAGAGAATTTCAGGGTTCCAGGCATGTCTGAAAAGGGCTTACGTTGCCTTCAACCAGCCAAAATCTCCTGAAGTTAGTATGAGTCACACTCAACTGCATGCGCCAGATCTTGTGTGAGCTTTCTGCTTTGTTTACATCCTAGTAGGTCGTCACACTCAGGTCTGGGGTTTGCTAATGAAGAAATACGTCTGTGCCAGTGCAGCAGTGCATTTCACTGATGTGTTTTTAAACAACAATGGAGGTCTATGGTACAGACGAATAAGCTGATCCAGGACCGATAGGACTCTCTGAATGCAAAGTGCTGAAAATACTATTATTATTGAAATGGCCAGCCTTATTCCTTAATGGCAGAAATTCCAGAATCTCATCATCTCTCTAGTTTGATGGTCTGGTAAATGGCTTTTCTTTTTTTCACCCTTCGTTGTATGTATTCTTCGGTTTTATTCCAAATTATCTGAAATTTCTGCTGCTACTAGTGTACTACTCTGTGGATTACTCAGAATGATAATGGAAAGACACACTGATGTTAAGGTTACTTTAGGCACTATAAAGACCATAAACAAAATTCAGTTTACCTCACTTGTATTAGTTAGACCAAGTAAATAAATCCAACACCATCTGCATGCCCAGATACTACTAGAAGTAAGCATGTGTTTATCACTTCAGTGAATGAATCAAAGGGACATGTTACGTACAGGTCATTTATTAATTTTTACA